CCAGTTTATTCTTAGTTTTTTCTTAGAAAATAACACCAGCGATGCAGGGACTTTGTAATGAATTCATCTGTAGAAAAGCCTTATCTTGGATTCTGAGTATCTTCTGCGTTAGCAAAAGTTTCCACCACCACCACTTATACACCAGGGTTTTTCTACTGCAGATCCAGTTTGGCCAGCTACTTTATGCAAGCCTTTGGGATCTCCCAAACACTGTACAATATAACACAAGAAAACGTGTAGTTGCGAAGCAAACATACCTATTTATGTACAGAAAGGACTTTTTTCATGTAGGGTATGTTGATTCTAAAATTAAATTATAATTGCACTCCTTTGGTGTGAAAAGACATAGCATGAGTTGATTCTTCTATCGCTATTACATGGATTACCCATTCTGTAGAGCCTTAAGTCATTTCAACAGTAAAGAATTTTCATTGTGAGTGTTCTTTTTTCCTAACTGACCTAGTTTGTTGAAGAAGTATTAACTGCCTCTGGAAGTATGGTCCCATTGAATTGGCCTTTTTCTTAAATAAAGGACTCCAGTTTATCGTTTTGCTTGCAAAAAAAAATAAAATCACAGGGTTATAGATGATTCCTATGATTTTAAGCAAACTTTTTTCCTCTTTTCCTATCCAGCTCATAACCACTCCAACCAAAGGATCTCTGTCCCCTGGAACCCGTAGCCATAAATATAAGAGCTCAAAGAAGTGTTTAGTAAGATTTGCATCCCTTTTCTGTATCTCATCTCAATTTCTCCCATGCCCAGTTCTTAAACTTACCCACATTCATGATTTTCTCTATTGCTTAAGATGACAGAAATGGTCACGGAGCCAACAACGGCACCTACAGAAAGTGTATATCCTGCCCTGGTGGGCTGTAAAGCATCTGTCGACATAATTCTGCCTCAAATTACTCCAAACTCTTGGTAAGCAGGAGGACATTGAATCAGGTTGTTCGGAAAAAAGTTTATGTGCCAGATATCGGTTTGAGTGTTTCTATGTTTAGGCAGTGCTCCTAACAGGTAGAATAATGTGTTCATTTGAAGTTAATCACTAGCAAGCAGCAGATGACAGGAATCAACATTTTAAGGGTACATTGCATTCCTGATAGATTCTGGGGCAATTGTTGAATTATATGTGTGAAAATGTTCATGGGAATATAGTTACACTTTTTTTCAGTATATTGAATCTCATTGTATTGAACTCACTCATTTTTCTATAAAGATGTATTGTTACCTTGAAAATACAGCTGAAGAATATATATTTTGGATAGACAGAAAATGTATACAAAAAGTGCATCCCATTTTTGTATGTATTAGCAAAAAGTTCAAATTGTGCCATATGAGTGCCATAAGCAGATTCCTCCGTACAATGTGAATATTTCCTCATCTTAAATTTATTCTTATCGATACAAAATTATTTTAACCCAGAGGATTTTCTTTGAAATTTGAATAGGAGATAAAATGCCCTTTTTTGACACATAATTTGAGCAGAAATATTATGACCTTGTACGCTTCAATTACTTCTTTTGGGATAGTAATTTAAAGTGTCGCCTATTTTTGCAAATGTTTCATATATAAGGTGATTGGGGGAAAACATGCTACCTTAATATGTACATAAACTTATAATCTGCACTGGGTTAGAGCCTGTATTGAAGTTAATGCACACCTTTTAGATGGTAAGGTTATATTTTCCATGGCACATTAAAACTCCTTCTTTCCCTTCTCTTTAGGACAAGAGGGTTAGGACATCTGATTCGAGCAAAGAATATCAGGACAGTGGGCGACTTGAGTTCTCTCACCAGAGCTCAG